AATTCATACGCAGCTGTCATCCGTACGCAAGGAAGTAAGAACAAGATGCCGAACACCCTTAGCAAGATGCAGCGCACCCTTAATGCGACTCGCCGAATACCTCACGGCGCTTCGCGCTTGGTGATATGAGAGCCTGGTCCGGTGAGAACCCGGCTTGCTCCGTCCCGGCTTTGTAGGGATGCGAGGTCAATGGTCCAACGACTACGGCACACACGACTATGAGTACACTCCCCCCCACCCCCCCCTCCCATCGTTGTTGTGGTTCTGACCACCCATGTCGTCGGGTACATCTTCGTCGTTTCCCCCTCCATCCATCACCTGGTACGGCCTCACTACACACTCCGGGAGTGATGCGATCGTCCACCGATTTGTCAATGGTGGTGCCCAGATCGCTCATGTGGACGTCACCCTCGCGTGGACATATGATACGTGGCTCGTTTTCCCACAGACATCATGTTGGGCCTCTAGCAAACAACCAAGGTCTTCTTGCCCAAGCCACCCTTCCAGGTACAACCCTAAGGCTTGGACTCAAGTTCATCGGTTGAGTCCGGAGGCGGGAGTTTGCGTCCTCTCCGTGAAAAACTCTTGAACTCGTCCGTTGTCCGCGGGTTGGGTGCGGGTTGTCCGTAGAAACGATGGACTTCTCCTTGTTCCTTGGTGCAGCACCTACGCCCCCGCGCAAAGAGTGGCTGCGAATGAAGCTTTCAGCTTGCCTTTGCAAACGCCATGCGCGTTTTGCGTTTTCCATCCATGCGTTGTCCTGAAAGAAAACGTCCAGGGTGGGGTTGTGCGCCGCTCTCTCCACCGCCGACCGGGGAAAACGACTGCGGGTCTCATCAACTTACTTGTCGACAACACCAATACAGGCGTTGACGGTGGACTACTGACGCTTCTCAAGATCAGGAAATGATTGTGAATATGCACTCGCGCGCCTCCGTCTCGTCCCATGTATGTCTGCCACGTAGTCATGCATCTTTCACCACTAACATGCCGGTGGGCTGCAAGCTAACAAACCAAGCGCTCCACATGCGACCTAAACTGCGGGTTGACGGGCTTGCCACCAATCACGAGCTTCTTGGTAGACTCTTTGTGGCCATTTTTCTTGACGTAGTTGGCATCAAGAAGAAGCTTCGGCAACCTCTCGAGGTCGCCGATCGATGCATCTGAGAGCGTCGTATGTCCTCCTGTACATTAGCCACAGATTCACGGACGCCTGAGGGTATCGAGTAGGGGCCATGAACAAAATCTCAAATATACACCTTACCCCACATGCGACCATCTGGGGGGCACGCCGGTTTTATGCCCGCAAAGGCCGTTTCGTATTTCCGCGTCCAACCCCAGATCCCCTGTTGCTCGTCACTGGGAGATTGATAATGTGCGATTCCTTATCTCCAATTCTTCTTATTCTCCGTCCCTTGAGCTCAATTTCTGTCATTTTCATTATCTCTTTTACCCTACCTCTGTATCTCACGAGGAAGTATATTTCGAACCAACCGGCTCTGCATTAGATGAGAGATATCTTTTAGTGAGTAGAATGTCAGCTGAACGAAACGAAGAGCAACCTCATTTATACTGCAGATGGTTTTCTGTCGTTCGTTCAGTAGACGTCATACACCGAGCCGGGGAGGGGACTCGCTACACTACAAGCGGGGTTGGCCATCAAGTTGTGGTTAAAGCAGGCGTGATAGCCCCCGGGAGTCCATCTAGTAAAACTACGGCGACAGCAGTAGTAACCACGGCCGGAGAACTCCCAGAGCTATGAATGGTATCTCCGCTCTCGAGATCGAGAGGTGTCGTCGGTCCCCGGTCCGGAGAACCCTCGTCGCGTATACACCGGCGTTGTCTTCGGGCTAGCATGAACCTGTTCGTGTGTTGGGGATGAGGAGAGGGGGATAATCGATTCTCCGCTAACCGGCAACCAATGAAACTCAATAATGGTGAATGTTTTCAGGTAAGAACCACCGGATGGGATATTGCTCCAGTACTAAACAAATATAATCCAGCTTGTAAAAATTTAGTTACAGCTACGTGTCAACGGGTTGTTGTCCACCGTCGAATTCCTTTGTACGAATCCCCTCTTGTTCGTGTCGTCATCGTTACCATTTGTTGCCGCATGTCGAGATTCTCTTCCTGTCCTAAAGACCTTCACCCCCAACCGCAGAGCGAAACATCATTATTATGTCAAGCGGGTCCGACAGATGAGACTTCTGTTTGCGAATCTCTAACAAACCAAACCCTCCTTCACTATCCAGTGCCCAAAATTCTTGCTACGCTGACCGTCCGTGGTTCTGAACAGGTTAGAAATTTACCTTTTGCATGCAGCCTTGATTTCAATTAGAGCGGCTCCCAAGGCTACCAGCATCAACGCAGGCCAGCATAGAGTGGCGCAGACAACGAACCCAGCCTGTCGTGTAATGTTGGTGTTGGGTATTCGGGTGGTCGGTGTGCGCGAAGGTGTTTGAGTTTCTTCAAATAGCATCGACTGCGCTAACCGTCTGACCAATGACAAAGACGCCAGTCTTACAGCGGCAAACAAAGCGCGAACGTTCTTCCTAGGGACAGGGCTCCCTCGGCAGGGGGTGCCACGGAGGAGGTTGGACGACAGGGTCCGGATTCGACCTAAACGTACAGGGATTGATGTGCTATCTTCTCCTGGTGTTAGCATCATTCCCCCGCCGTGGGCCACTCTGCATCCTATGGTTTCAGCCCGTTTGTTCGTACCTGCAATTCTCTTGGACCTCTCTTACTGCCTGCTCCCCAAGCCTATTTTTCTTGCGTTTTTGTCCCTGTCGACGGGCGAATGGGAGTTATGATGGATCGAAGCCCTTGATATCTTTTGCAGCTTCCTCTACCATCGCATCTCGTTTCTACTTCTTCAAAGCATCGCCTCGAACGCTTTAAGTCGAAGCAAGTCTTCCTGGTCGTGAAAGTCTCCTACTGTACGCTCCACAAGTGTGTTTTCTGGGCTACATGATGCGATGCAGCTCCGACAAAATAGCTGTATAAATAATGCCGAAGCAACCGTTAGGGTGGAGCTGGATGGACCAGAAGTACATGCATAGCGGGTTGCCTCTGCGATTGCTCTGTCAACGTCGGTGGATATCGTGTTTGGAAGTGATCCATGAAATGCATGTATCTGCCGCAGGATGGACAATGGTACCACCGAGAAAGAATCGTTTCGGAAGAGGAGATGTTTTCATCTCGTTCACCTGCATCAAGCTTAGGAGGTATGGCCAGATCATCTTGTACAGGTCATTCCTTCCACCAGTGCCTCTTGAAATTTGGGTTTGACTCTTCGACCGCACCCTTCATGTGACGTTGGCGTATGGTTTGTGGAGGAACTTCACACTCCAGTCTTGGTGCAGGCGAGGCCACATGAATACCCGCGTGCTTCTTTAACCTGGGAGTGAGTTTCGTTACTAGGTATCCACCGCATTGACGGCGGCTGACAAATCAAAAGCCGCCAAGATGAGCGTGTGTGCAAAGGATGTGTGAACGCAGGGAACGGTCCCGACACACGTCGAGGAGATGTTGAGATGTTAATCTCTTTCAAGGCCCTCTCCACTTACCCCCCCTGCTCTATGAGTCCTATGTTTCAGAGTGATGCTCGCATGGGTGTATTCGGTGTTCCTTAATTAGCATCAACCGCGCTAAACGGCTGACAAACGATAACCCCGTCAGCGTATGCATACTGCGGGACAAATACTCGAACACGACTTCTACGTCGCAGGCTGCCGTGATATGGAAGTCGTACTGCTTAGTTGTGTGTGTGTCTGTGTGGGTAAGTGGACGAGTGGAATGATACATCACCGGTGGATAGAAGGGTATTCCGTCAGATGTACCCTCTAGCCCATCTGCCGGACGGTGCGGGGGCTGAATTTCTTCCTTCCTGTAGCTGCTCAAGGAACAGCATTGTGGGTTTTCCACGTGGACGGTACTTCTATTGGAGCGTCTTCAACGACGTTGAACGCGACGTGGTGTTTGGTCGACGTCCCCGCACGAAACAACCTCGCTTTGCATTTCGAAATCTTCACTCCAAGGACCGTGAAAGATTCTTTCCTCAACTGACCTGATTCAAGTGGCGGGAGTTTGCGTCCCCGTTGGCGTTGATGTTCGCGCCAACGGTGGCGTTCATTTCACGTGCTTCGTCTTCTTCTCTGTTCCAAGGGTAATTGGGTTGGTCGATGTAAAACGCTGGAGCATGCACGAGCAAATCGCGTTCACCTTTTCGAGGGGTGATGAAGACTACTCGATGTGTGAGGAATCCTGGAGTCACACATGGGGGTGTGAGTGTTTGTGCGCGTCCACCTTGCCCGTTGTTCGTGCTGTACACCTTTGCACCAGGTGGTGATGTTGCTCGTTGGCCATGACGAACGGTGCAATCAACAGACGGGCGAGGCTACCACTGGAGGGTGGCCCACCCACGTACGGGTTGTGGTAGTGGCTCGTGCATTCGGTTCTCGTACCTTAAGCTAGAGCAGTGGTAGACGAAAAACGGGAGTCCGGCGCACGCCATCACCGCCAGGACCGTACCCGTTACGATTCCATAGCACACCTGTCCAACGAGCAAGTTGGAACGGCCACGGTCTAGAGGTTCGGCTGATATCTCCGACGTTGACAACACACTTTCAACAAGGAAGAAATATGGCACTGGCCGCTCTGTCCCACGATCCACTTTCAGCCCCTGCAGTGCGTTCTCTTATCCAAGCTGTTCGCCCGAACAGGTCACGTTTGCGCACGCGCCTCGTCGCCTCCCTCCGGTATGTACGTTCGGAGTCGGTCCTCGACATACACTCATGCTCAACGCTGCAACAGAACTTTGGGTGACGTTTCACTTGTGTTGTCTTCCTGAACTCACCAAAATCGTGGCAAATATGTTTATGTTTATCTCCGCTTCGTCTTCAGTGTCACCGACGACGCGTGAATATGTCTCGTTGGTCATGGCAGCACCTGGCGGCAAGGCGAAGCGTGGGCTGCGTGTACGCCGGATCATGCGGCGGAAGTGGTTGGTTGCACGGGGGCCAGGAAACTTTCCAATAAGGTAGAAGAAACTTTATCGTCATGGCAAGACAAGCTATAAACAAAGCGTGCAAGTATGTACGTGCCTTCCGCCACAATACCTCGCGGAAAAAAACTATGGTGGCTATCGAAAGTTCCCCCCCACACCCCCCCCCCACTACGGGGTTGGGTTTTCGTCGCTTGGCAACGACGTTGTAAAACAAGCCGCCCCCCCCGGTGTTTGCCATCGGGATTGGGTTTTCGTCGCTTGGCAACGACGTTGTAAAACAAGCCAATTCACTTCGTGAACTCGGCAACCAGGTTACCGTTTTTTTTTTTTTCCTCCGTTTTTTTTTTTGGCGGTAACCATAATGGTGGTCGAGTAGATCATGTTGTGCGGGGTGGAGAACCCTCACTCCGCGCAAGGGGGATGATCGCACCACGTTGTGTTAAAATGGTCAAGCACCCTCGAGGCAGTTACACAGTGCTTACAACTGTCTCTGGAAGTGAAAGCACCAGAAAATAAATTAATTCATACGCAGCTGTCATCCGTACGCAAGGAAGTAAGCACAAGATGCCGAACACCCTTAGCAGGATGCAGCGCACCCTTCATGCGACTCGCCGAATATCTCACGGCGCTTCGCGCTTGGTGATGTGAGAGCCTGGTCCGGTGAGAACCCGGCGTGCTCCGTCCCGGCTTTGTAGGGATGCGAGGTCAATGGTCCAACGACTACGGCACGCACGACTATGAGTACACCCCCCCCCACAGCCACGCTCGTTTCTTACATTCTAGATGCCGTTGTCTCTCGCTCTAGCACTCTTGCAAAAATACCGAGTTCATGAGAAAAAGAAGATAGAAAGATCCGCCCGACGGAGTTCCTACGAATGGTTTGTGTGTCCAATACATTCACAGCAGCTTGACGGCAAACGGACGCGTGATGTCTCTTCAAGTACCACCTCCTTCACGTACTACACTTGTGGGTACTTGTGCTGATGGCGCTTGATTGGCACGGGGGTGCAAAAAAACGAACATCGAAACAGTTTAATTGACTTTCCGCACTGGGGTTCTTGAGAACAGTTACAGAGTCTGTCGCCACCACTTTAGAACCGCGTATTTTGCGTGAGACTTGACGCCTATTTGTTGCCTCAAACCGAGCCTATGATCGTAGTTCCAACTTCTAAGTTCTTATTGATCTACCTAGAATCAACGGGTTCTCTTTCATATTTCTACGCCGATTGCCCCATGAAGAGGGCACGATAGAGCCTTGTCTGGGTAGATTTCAAGCTGGCACTAAGAGTACATTGCGTGGTTACTCCCCCCCCCCC